CACCACCCCCTACACGGATATTCCTCCGAGACCTCCACTTTTCCTATTCGGACTCTTCTCGTCGGCCCTTGGTTTTCACATATGACTTGTCCTCAGTGTTGGAAGAATATATGTTTGCTTTCCTCAGCCGCGCTCACGAGTTTACATACAATTTTGGGCAGAATTGTACAGAAATCAACAAAAATTTCCTCATAATTTTTAAACTATCACCAACACATGTACATTATCCCTACCACTGCAGCCCAGAGGGTGCCCCAAGGCGATAGCTCCTCCATTCACATTGACATGTTCCGGATCCACTACTCCTTCAAGGAGCTTATTATTAGCAAGCACGACTGCCGCAAAGGCCTCATTAAACTCCCATACGCCAATCTCAGACTGAGCAAAAGTGGGCAACCTGAGTTCGACAAAGGAACCCATTCAACTTTGAGAAATAACGTTCCCCAGGGTTTGATAACAATAGGGAAAATGATGTTCCTAATGTGATGATGACATTTACATGGGAAACTGATTGAAGAATGTGATCCTAGCCATGCGTGGAAAATTCAAAATGAATTTCCCCCGGAAAATATTATAGGTTTCTGGATGATTCCCCGAGTTCCTCACTTGTTAATAGCCAGCCTGGCCGCTGTGGCCGGGGCGATGGTGAAGTCCTCAGGGGTCGTCGCAGCATCAGCCATTGATGCAATACTTGCCAGAATCGGCACTCCGAGACGATCTGCTTCCTGTGAATTTAAAACAACTACAATGTTAAGAGAAATAAATTCAATTTTATCCGGAGTTTCCTCACTAACAATACAAGTTTAAAAAACCCATTAAAATTTTCCCCAAAATTTTCCCGAAATTTTCTCATAATTTCCAATTTTATCACCAACACATAGGTGATAAACAGCAAAGAATGCACTCCCTAAATACTTGTCGACTCATAACGACAATAGCGCTCGCCCCGTCAGACAAGGGGCTAGAGTTGCCAGCAGTAACCACTCCTCCTGATCTTCGGAAGGCCGGCTTTAGCTTCGACAGAAGCTCCTCAGAGACCTACAGAAGAGCCCAGATTTGGAGTGGTGAAAGATTCCCCTATAGCTCGTGTAAGCAACAATGTCAAACGTGTATAATTTAGTTTCCACTCCCAAAAAAAAGTACGACTGTAAGCAATCAGGGAATCACCCAGAAACCTATAATGTTCCCGAGAGGAAACCCATTTGGACTTTTCCACCTACAACTAGAAATACATTTTTCAATGTAAATGTCATCATATTAGGAACATCTTTCCCCCCCCCCCCTTTGTTATGAAACCCTAGGGAACGTTATTTCACTGGGGCAAACAGTTGTTACCTTTGCGACTTGTTCATCCTTGTCCACTGTGGTGACCTTCCCCCTCCTCCCCTTCACTTCGATAGGAGCTATCTCATGTTTGAAGAGGCCCTGCTGAGCCCCTCGGGAGAGTCTAATGCTCCGTGCAGCATAGTCGTCGAGGGCCTCGCGAGTGAGGGCGAACTTCTCTACCGTTCGTTCCGCACATTCCCCCATATGGACGGCATCATAGGCGTCAGTGAGGCCATCGAGGACCATGAGGTCCGTCATCACCCCATGGCCGTGTCGCAATCCCCACCTGAGAAAATTCCGTCACTGCGCCATGAAATTATCATCTACCTAGCCTTAAGGTCAGCATAGGGGGCGTTGCTCATGCTCTCCATCCCTCCCACGACCATAACCCTCCTCTCTCCTGAGCGTATCATAGCAGCAGCCAACATCAACGTCTTCATCCCGGAGGCACAGACCTAGCAACTACACCAGTAGGGCCTCGACTGAGACCTCCTCCTTGAAGACCTTATTGACACCAGTACAGGGAGTAGTATTAGGAATGCCCGCGAGCAGCGCTGCCTGTCTGTGTGGGGCCTGGCCACATCCTGCTGAGAGGACCTGAGGTGAATCATACACACACACGGCTGATGACCACCTACTTGACCAAAAAGCACTTCCTCTACGGCTTCAGGGGGAAGGTGGGCGTTTTTCAAGGCGGCTCGGATCGCATGGGCACCCAACTCGGGTGCCTTGAGGCCTGATGGAGGTTACATGAGGAAAGATACGGATTAGGCCCAATTACTGGCCAGACTGCCACCGAAGCTCCCAAGGGGCGTACGAGCATAGCCGACGATAACAGGCTCGGTGTTGGTGACTGGTGATACGTGAGAAGAAACGGCGGAGATCCTATGTGACATGAGGGGACCTAATCTGTATCTTGCCAGGTCAACCTAAAGATACTCGGGGCAAGACATAAGGCTATTGAGATGAGCGCCACGATGTCTGCACTTGAATTTCCAGCGAAGGGCGAGTCACTGCGCCACGAAATTACGCGCGCGCCCACATCTTCGTGCTGTTCAGTCGACGGAGGCGTGACCCAACCCATACAGAGAGCTACCAGAGGGCTCTATCGGCCCTCGTGTCCTCAGTTAGGCCCCTCACCTGCTGGGTCTCAGCTCGATAGTTATACGACGAGACGTGACGTGGTGGGGGAGGGGGAGGGGGGCTTCTCGCTGCGGCTTAGGCTTCAGCTGGGGAGGGGTTCCGGTCTGTATATATATATATATA